TACCTTTCCCTTACAGTTGAGAAACATACTTTTTCTGTCTTTAATTCTCAGTATGGTAGTTTTTCTGGAGACAGTAAGGGTTTACTTAGTCACCTAGACAGTAATTGACTCATATTGTTTGGGAAGATGATTTTAGAAAGGATTTTTTGGAAGTGGATCTATTTCTAGAAGTTGTCTCTTGTTGTTGTTAGATGCTGATGAGTCAGTTCAGACTCATAGAGACCCCATGTACAACAGAATGAAACACTTCCTGGTCGTGAGCCCTCCTCACAATCGTTGCTGTGTTTGAGCCCATCATTCCAGCCAGGGTGTCAATCCATCTCACTGAAGATCTTCCTCCTTTTTGCTGACCCTCTACTTTACCAAGCATGATGTCCTTCACTGGGGACTGGTCCCTCCTGTTAACATGTCCAAAGTATGTGAGATGATGTCTCACCAATCTCGATTCTAAGGAGCATTCTGATTGTACTTCTTCCAAGACAGATTTGTTTGTTCTTCTGGAAAGCCATGGTATATTCACTATTTTTTTGCCAACGCCGTAATTCAAATGCATCAGTTCTTTGGTCTTCTTTATTCATTGTCCAGCTTTCGAATGTGTATGAGGTGATTGAAAATACAATGGCTTAGATCAGTCGCACTTTAGTCCTCAAAGTGACATCTTTGCTTTTTAACACTTTATAGAGGTCTTTTTTGGCAGATTTGCCCAATGCAATACGTCGTTTGATTTCTTGACTGTTGCTTCCATGGCCGTTGATTGTGAATCCGAGTAAATTGACATACTTGACAATTTGAATGTTTTCTCTGTTTGTTATGATGTTGCTTATTGGTCCAGTTGTGAGGTATTTTGTTTTCTTTATTTTGAGGTGTAATCCATACTGAAGGCTGTAGTCTTTGATCTTCAAGTTCTCTTCACTTTCAACAAGTAAGGCTGTGTCATCTGCATGTCACAGGTTGTTAATGAGTCTTTCTCCAATCCTGATGCCACATTTTTCTCAATGTATTCCACTTTCTTGGATTATTTGCTCAGCATGAAGATTGAATAAGTATGGTGAAAGGATACAATCTCGACGCGCAACTTCCCTGATTTTAAACCAGACAGTATCCCCTTGTTTTGTTCGAACAACTACATACAATTGGTCTACATACAATTTTCATATGAACACAATTAAGTGTTCTAGAATTCCTGTTCTTCACAATGTTATCCATAATTTGCTATGATCCGCACAGTCGAATGTTTTGTGTAGTCAGTAAAACACAGGAAACATCTTTCTGGTATTCTCTGCTTTCAGCCAGTATCCATCTGACATCAGCAGTGATATCCTTCGTTCCATGTCCTCTTCTAAATCCAGCTTGAATATCTCAGAGTTCTCTGTCAGTGTACTGCTGCAACCGGTTTTAATTATCTACAGCAAAATTTTACCTGCATGTGATATTAATGATATTGTTTGATAATTTCTGCATTCTATTGGATCACCTGTCTTTGGAATGGACACAGATATGGATCTCTTCCAGTCAGTTGGCCAGGTAACTATTTTCCAAATTTCTTAGCATAGACTGGTGAGTACTTACTAGCATTGCATCCAGTTGTTGAAACATCTCAGTTGGTATTCTGTCAATTCCTGGAGCCTTGTTTTTACCAATATCTTCAGTGCAGCTTGGACTTCTTCCTTCAGTACTACCGGTTCTTGATCATATCCTACCTCCTAAAATGGTTGGATGTGGACCAGTTCTTTTTGGTACAGTGACTGTGTATTCCTTCTATCTTCTTCTTTTTTTTTCTTTCCATTTTTTATTCTACTTTAGATAAAGGTTTACAGAACAAAGTAGTTTCTCATTAAACAGTTAGTACACATATTGTTTTATGACGTTGGTTAACAATCCCATGACATGACACTGAATCCCATGACACTTATCCTTTCTCAACCTTGGGTTCCCTATTACCAACTTTCCTGTCCCCTCCTGCCTTCTAGTCCTTGTCCCTGGGCTGTTGTGCCCCTTTAGTCTCGTTTTGTTTTATGAGCCTGTCTAGTCTTTGGCTCAGGAATGACTTCATTACAAGGTAAAAGGGTATCTGAGGGCCATACTCTTGGGGTTTCTCCAGTCTCCGTCATGCCAATAAGTCTGGTCTTTTTTTGTGAGTTAGAATTTTTTCTTCATTTTTCTCCAGCTCTGTCTGGGACCATCTATTGTGATCCCTGACAGAGCAGTCAGTGGTGGTAGCCGGGTACCATCTAGTTGTACCGGACTGAGTCTGGTGGAGAACGTGGTAGTTGTAGTCCGTTAGTCCTTTGGACTAATCTTTCCCTTGTGTCTTGTTTTCTTCATTCTTCCTTTCTCCTAAAGGGATGAGACCAGTCCTTCCATCTTATTTTGATGCTTCATGGGTCGTTCAGTATTTTGCCTGTAGAGTCCTTCAACATTGTAACTTGAGGCTTGAATTTTTTCTTTTGTTCTTTCAGCTTGAGAAATGCTCAGCATGTTCTTCCCTCTTGGTTTTCTAACTCCTGGTCTCTGCCCATTTCATTATAATACTTTGTCTTCTTGAGCCGGACTTTTAAATCTTTGGTTCAGCTCTTTTACTTCATCATTTCTTCCATTCGTTTTAGCTACTGTATGTTCAAGAGCAAGTTTCAGAGTTTCTTCTGACATCCATTTTGGTCTTTTCTTTCTTTCTTGTCTTTTTAATGACCTTTGCTTTCTTCATGTTTGATGTCATTCCACAGCTCTTCTGGTCTTCAGTCTTTAGTGTTCAGTGCATCAAATCTGTTCTTGAGATAGTCTCTGAATTCAGGTGGGATATACTCAGGGTCGTACTTTGGCTCTCGTGGACTTGTTTTAATTTTCTTCAGCTTCAACTTGAACTTGCGTATGAGCAATTGACGGTCTGTTCCACAGTCAGCCTCTGGCCTTGTCCTGACTGATAATATTGAGCTTCTCTATCGTCTCTTTCCACATATGTAGTCAGTTTGCTTCCTGTATAGTCCATCTGGTGAGGTCCATGTGTGTAGTCACTGTTTACATTTTTGAAGAAAAGTATTTTCAATGAATACGTTGTTAGTCTATTGCAAAATTCTATCATGCAATCTCGGGTATCATTTCTATCACCAAGGCCATGTTTTCCAGCTACTGATCATTCTTTGTTTCCAAGTTTCATATTCCAGTGATCAGTAATTATCGGTGCATTTTGATTGCATTTTTGATCAGTTTCAGACTGCAAAAGTTGTGTAAAATTCTTCAATTTCCGCATCTTTGACATTAGTGATTGCGGATAAATTTGAATAATGTCATATTAACTGGTCTTCCTTGTAGACTTATGGATATTATCCTATCACTGATAGCACTGTACTTCAGAATAGATCTTGAAATGTTCTTTTTGAAAATGAATGTAATTCCATTCCTCTTCAGTTTGTTGTTCCTGTCCTAGTAGACCATATGGTTGTCCAAATCAGAATGGCCAATACCAGTTCATTTCAGCTCACTGATGCTTAGGATATCGATGTTTATGCATTCCATTTCAGTTTTTGACTATTTCCTAGATTATAGTTTGTGCATTCCATGTTCCAATTATTAGTGAAAGTTTACGGCTGTTTCTTCTCATTTTGAATTGCACCACATCAAAAAATGAAGGTCCTGAAAGCTTTATTCCATCTGCTTCATTAAGATCAACTCTGCTTTGATGAGGCAGCTCTTTCCCAGTCATATTTTGAGTGCCTTCCAACCTGAGGGGCTCATCTTCTGGTACTGTATCAATGTTCAGCTGCTATTCAGAAGGTTTTCACTGGCCAGTTTTTTTCAGAAGTAGTGTGCCAGGTCCTTCTTCCTAGTCTGTCTTAGTCTGGAAGTTCTGCTGAAACCTGTCCACCATGGGTGACCCTGTTGGTATTTGAAGTACTCGTAACAGAGCTTCCAGCATCACAGCAATACGCAAGCCACCATAGTACGACAGACTGACAGATGAGTGGTGAAGTTGTCTATTAAGCAGCTAATTTTATTACCCTAAATTGCAAATCCAAATTTTAGGCCTTTTGCATGGCTCTGTAAAGATGTGAAGGCCTCTGTGCAGTAAAGAAACCCAGTGGTGTGCCTTTTAAGACCAGCTGATGGGCAGACTATCAGTTGAAGGTCCTCAATTCTTTGAGGGTCTCCTGCTGCCATGGTAGCTGAGGATTTTTTTATTGTATTTATTCTTTTAAATACCTTTACTGATAATGTATTTCACATACCATAAGCTGAGGTGGTATTTGATCCCCAGTTTGTCTGTTACGGAGCACTGATTCTTTACCAGAGTGTGTATAAATAGAGTTGATTAAAATAATCACCAACAATTAATGAAGCAGTGCCAGGGATGTTTTGCAGATGAATGGACTTATATGTTAAAATCTAGATTCATGTTTTTCTTGCTGTACTTTGTTTCTGGGAAATTCAAGCTAAGGGCTCTCCACTGAGCCTAAACTCTGAACAAAACCTCTGATGCAGGAAGAACAGGGGAACTTGAGGTACTGGCATTATGGGTTGTGGCATGTGCATGCAGTTCCCACACAGAAGTGTTCTCTTTACCAGAAGAGCAAGCTTCAGATGTCATAGTGATGGGCATGGTATCTTTTTTATACCAATCAAAAACAAATTAACCGTAAGTACTGTAAAATTTTAAAATCCGATGACTTGGAGAAATTTCTTCCAAAGTCCGTTCTCTGAAACAGTTTAGCCCTTAACATCAATCTGGCCAGTACTACAACTATCTTGAATTTTTTTTTTTTTAATTGTTCATTGTGATGGTTAAGAGTGTGTGTCAACTTGGCTAGGCCATGATTCTCAGTGTTTATATGTAATCACTCCCATGATGAGATCTGCTGTGAGTAACCAATCAGTTGAAAGGGAGTTTCCTTGGGGGTGTGGCCTACATCCAAATATAAGCAGACTTCTGGCTTTTTGCTCGCTCTGGATCCTGTGGCTGCCTCCTGTTCCTCTGACCTCCACTTCTTGGGAGTTGAGCTATCAGCTTATCTGCCCATCTTGGGATTCATCGATCTTCACAGTCTGTGAGTGGAGCCCTGCTCTCTGACCTGCTGATCTTGGGTTCGCCAGCTCCTGCAGCTACGTGAACTGGGAGAAGCCTCTATCCTAATCCACAGACTTGGGACATTCCAGCCTCTGCAATTGGGTGAACTGTGTCTTTGATATGAATCTCTCTCTCTATATATATTTATATGCTTTACTGGTTTTGCTTCTCTAGAGAATCCAGCCTAAGACAATCAGTATTTTTCCTGTATACCTGAATATTTAGATGTTGTTGTTTGTGTTGTTGAGTCAATTCTGACTTATAGTGACTCTGTATGAAATTGCAGAACTTCACCCATAGGGTAAGGTTTAAAACCAAAAAAAACCTGTTGCCGTTGAGTTGATTCTGACTCGTAACGATCCTAAAGGACAGAGTAGAACTGCACCATAGGGTTTCCAAGGAACTCCTGGTGGATTCGAACTGCTGACCTTTTAGTTAGCAGCCGTAGCTCTTAACCACTACACTACCAGAGTTTCCCCATAGGATTTACAAGGCTGTAATCTTTACGGGAGCAGATCACCAGGTCTTTCGCTGAGGAGCCGCTGGTGGGTTCAAAACCCGACCTTTTAGTTAGTAAGAGCTGAGCACTTAACCATTGCATGACTCATACCAAACAACCAAACCCATTGCCGTTGAGTCCATTCCGACTCATAGTGACCCTACAGGACAGAGTGGAACTGCCCCATAGGGTTTCCGAGGAGTGGCTGGTGGATTCAAACTTCTGACGTTTTGGTTAGCAGCCAAACTCTTAACCACTACACCACCAGGGCTCTATCGTGCCACCAGGGCTACTCATTTAGCCATAGTGGAACCCTGATGGTGCAGTGGTTAAGAGCTCAGCTGCTAACAAAAAGGTTGGCAGTTTGAATCCACCAGCTGTTCCTTGGAAACCCTGTGGGGCTATGGGGCAGTTCTTCTGTGTCCCATAGGGTTGCTCTGAGTTGGAATTGACTTGATAGCAACAAATTTTGGTTTTAAAACCTTTAAGGAACCCTGGTGGTGCTCAAAGTGGTTAAGTGCTAGGCTGCTAGCCAAAAGGCTGGCAGTTTGAACCCATGAGCTACTCCATGAAAGAAAGACCTGGCTACCTGCTTCTGTAAAGATTAATACCTTGCAGTGGAGTCGACTCCGACTCATAGTGACCCTATAGGATAGAGTGGAGCTGTCCCATTAGAGTTTCCAAGGAGCAGCTAGTGGATTAGAACTACCGACTTTTGATTAGTACCTGAGCTCTTAACCACTGAGTCATCAAGGCTCCTGGTAAAGATTACAGCCTAGGAAACCGTATGAGGCCGTTCTGTTCTGTCCTGTAGGGTCGCTATGAGTTGGAATTGACTTGATGGCACACAGCAATAATGAACTAATTTTAAATTTTATTATCCTTTAATAACTTCAATAGCCCCTAACCGTTGACATAAAAATGATAGTATATACAGATTCTACAAGAATGACATGTAGACTTTTTAAAAAATAAAAATGCAATTTGAGTTAGTCTTTTTGTAATTTAATAAGAAATTATTGAAATGATTTTTGGGCATGGCAGTGGGATCCAGTTCCAGGATCTTCTGATTTAGAGAGAACTCTGTAACTATAAATAGGACCAGCACAGGAAACCTTGTCCTTTGGGCCCTGTGGATTTGAGCTGCTGCCCATTTTTAAATACTTTCATTTTAAATAGTGAATTAGATGATCGGAAAGAGAGCTCATTAATTTTCTCTGTTTCTAGTACTGGAACCATGATATTTCCACAGAAATATTTTAAATCCTGTACAAAAGTATGATGGGAAAAGCCATATTTCATGATGGCTAGTGTATGGGAGTCCTGGTGAATTAGTTTCATTGATTGATAATCACCATATGTTTGCTGTCCTACAGAAAGACTGTCCTTCCCCTTGCTGTCTTTTAACTCAGGCTTGAGTGTCTTAGAGGCAAATAACTACTGCCAGTTGTTTAATGCAAGTGCTTGAAAGAGTTAACCTCTTTTTACAAATCTAAACTCATTTCGCTTCCTTAAGGCTATTGATGGCATATTCTCTCCAGTTAATGAAAAACTCACTGTAACTGATTTAAAAAATGAATGATTTTCTCTACTTCTTTTTAATATCATTCTAAAAGTTTTGGTATTTTTGCAAGGAAATAATTATTATGCCCCCATAGGTGCTCATTTTACTGCCAGAGATTTCTTGCCTTGCGTAATGTATACCATAGAATCTATACCATAGCTTCTTTGAGTCACATGATAACCTGATGGGATCAGTCCTGGTAACTGGACTAAGGAATAATAAGGGTAGAAGTAATGATAGTAGTAATAGCAAATACTTGTACTTACTGTGTGCCAAGCATTGGTCTAAGTGCTTTATGTATCATAATCCCCCAACTGCCCTGTAAGTACTTTTGTTATCCTCATTTGCAGGTGAGGAAACTGAGGCACAGGAAGTTTAAGTATCTTGGCCAGGAACTTGAAGCCAGGCAGTATGGCACGAGGGCTCTTGCTGTTATCTACTACAGCCTACTGCCTTTATGGAAGGAAATAACCATAATAGCGGAATTAGAATGAAAATATTTTAAATACAGCACCTCTACAATTTACTGTGTGCAGTCACGTTTCCTTCAGCTGTTGTTTTAGTAAAGCCATAAATTGAAGATGTAGCTGTTCAGGTCAGGTTAGTCTCAATTATTTAAATCTAAAATTTCCGGTATGACAGAGAAGATGAAGTACCTTATAAGAAAGCCCTGTTTTTTTAAACCGTTTTCTCTGGGCTTTATTTTTAGCGCTTCTGTGTTCTCGGTAGATGTTGATTGTGTATTGTTTAGTGCAGGGAAACCATGACTTCTACATTATTACTGTTTGAAATATGTTGGTGTCTTGCACATGGCAAACACATGGCTCAGTTCTTATGCCCATCTTATGCCTGTGTGTAAATTTCTCTGCATCTGGAGGAAATCTGAAGTTTTATGGGCAAGAGTAACTAATCATCCTGCCAAAAACTGGAAAATAGTTGGTTGTATCCCTGCCAAGGTGCTTCAGAATTACCCCTAACACGCCGCCTCCCCACACACAAAGAGATAAAAGAGCTATACAAATCTAATAAACAAACTGATAAAATGTTTGTTTCGTCCCTTAAATGTAACATTAGTTTTTTCCAGGTATGTCTTCTAACTTTACTTTTTATATGCTAGTAGTCCATCTATTTAGTATCTTTTTGATGAGTTTGACGGTGTGTGCTTTTCCCCCTGGCATGCTTATGCAGACATGCTCCTCTGCCATCTTGTAGTCAGTGTCATTTCAGGAAGGTCTCAGATTTCATGATTTAATTCTCTTTGCATTATAGAAAAAAATTCTTTGGGTATTAAGTGAATTTTCCTTTCTCCTGGGACTGAAGCAAAGTTACTCTAGGTCCATCATCATGTATAATGCATCAGCTGCCTTAATGGTGTTAAGATTGCAAGTAGCCTTAACTGTAGCCTGAAGAAAATACATTGGTCCATTACCAGCTTGTACAGGTCAGGTATCTTAGTGCTGGGAGTCAGGAAAAATGAAAAGTGACAGCTGTTGTCAGCATGAGTTCCGTTTCTAAGCTCTCTTTATAATCTATTTGAGTAGAAAGTCCCCTTTATTTTCTTTCTGGTGTAAGATTTTTTTCTTCAATGAAGTCTCTAAAGGGTTATTTCATCTGTTAATTTTCAAGATGTTATCCATAAACTTAAAAGATATGCAGCTCAGCCATAAATTAAAAGAAAAATCAAAGTAGCACTAACTAACGATGTTTCTATGTATGGAACCAATTAACTATTTCACAATAGAATATCTTTTCTCTGTTAATTCTAATTATAGAATAAATCTTTTCATTATATAACGTCTCATTAAATTCTACTGTTGCAAGTTTTTTGAAATCAGAGTGAACTATTAGAATAATTTTGATTGAAGTAGAAGCTGTGAAAGTTGTTTTGACAAGCGTTAACTGTTTTTAAGCAAAAAATGTAAATTCTTCCATCATGTCCAAAATTAGCCTATTTTCTTGTTCCTTTGTATTTAAAAAAATTTATTTTCAGTGAATAAGTGGCTGTGATAAAAATAAGAATGGGTAATGAAAACCAGAGAAATAAGTACCATATTTACTTTAAGTATTTAGTCTACTAACTCTGTATCAGCATGTCTGTTTCATTTCTAACATGTTTTTTTTCATGACTTCTCTCTTCTATTTTGGTCGAACTTGTCAGAGTTGTTTTTTTTTTTTTTTAGTAAGTGTTTTCAAAGTACCAGCTTTCCTTTCTTTATTAATGCTTTCCAATAATTTCTGCTTTAATATTTTTTTTTACATTTCATTACTGTATTTCTTCAATAATGCCTTATTTTAATGGGTACAGTGCTTTTACTTGGCATCAGTTATAGGTTGGTTTGGAAACAGTTCAGTATTATACCTCCAGCTGATTTGATTACAGATCTCTCCATTCCTTTGGGGTGACTGCTAACAGGGGACAGGTTCCATTCTGTTCCAATTTGTGTTGCTGTACCTGTCCATACAGCAACACAGACTGTAGCTCCACTAGCTAATACAGCATTACCATATTTGTCATGGAAATCAGGTGCACGTTTCTGGTGGCTCTGCCTCGCTATTGTTTGCTGCATGGTTCGATCTTGAAGATGACGTAGTGAGTTTTTGGCCATGGGAAGCATCATTTAGAAGTAAATAGAATTGCCGCAACTGCAACTGCTGGCTAGGTGCAATTCGCGTCTGGTACCCTTGCAAAGAGCTCTGAAAAACAACATCTAATTTCTGCTTTAATCTTTGTAATTTCCTTCTGGTTTTTCATTTGACTGTTGTTCTTTCTTTAGCTCTCTGAGTTAAATGTTTATTAGTTATCCATCTTCTTTTCTATAAGTATCTATGGATGAAAATTTACTCTTAAGTACCATTTTAACAGCATCCCATGAGTTCTGATATGTAGAAATATTTTTGTGGTCCAGTTATGTATATATTTTTTTCTCTAATTTACACTATGACTTTTATATGACTTGTAAATTATTTAAGTTTTTAAAAATAATTTTAAATAGTTAAAAAGTCTATATTAAACATTTTTTAAATTTCAAAACATAAAAGCATCTTTTATTGTGTTTTAGGTAAAGTTTATAGGGCAAATTAGTTTCTCATTAAAAATTTTATACTAATTGTTTTATGACGTTGGTTGTAGTCCCCACAAAGTGTCAGCACTCACCCCTTTCCCTTTATACCCCAGGTTCCCTGTGTCCATTCCTCCAGGTTTCCTGTTCCTTCCTTGCTTCTCATCTTTGCTTTTGGGTAGGTGTTGTCCATTTGGTCTCGTATACTTGATTGAACTAAGAAGCATGTTCTGCACGTGTGTTGTTGTTTGTTTTATAGGCTTGTCTGAGGATCGACTGCTAACCAAAAGGTCGGCAGTTCGAAACCACCAGCAGCTTCGTGGGAGAAAGATGTGGCAGTCTGCTTCTGTAGAGATATACAGCCTTGGAAACCTTATGGGGTCACTGATTCGGAATCGACTCCACGGCAGTGGGTTTTTTTTTTTTTGTCTAATCTTTGGCTGAAAAGTGGATTTTGGAGTGGCTTCAGTTCTGAGTTAGCAGGATGTCTGGGGGCTATAGTCTTGCAGGCTCTTGTAGTCTCTGTCAGACCAGTAAGTCTGGTCTTTTTTTTCTTTGTGAATTTGAATTTTATTCTACATTTTTCTCCTGCTCTGTCTGGGACCCTCTATTGTGATCTCCCTCAGAGGGATCAGTGGTGGTAGCTGGGCACCATCTAGTTCTTCTTGGCTCAGGCTGGTGGGAGCTGTGATTCATGTGGTCCATTAGTCCTTTGGACTAATATTTTCCTTGTGTCTTTGGTTTTCTTCATTCTCTGTTGCTCCGGATGGGGTGGGACCAGTAGATGTTATTTTAGATGGCTGCTGGCAAGCTCTTAAGACTGCAGACACTACTCACCAAAGTGCAATGTAGAACGTTCTTTCTATGAACTATGTGATTCCAGTTGACCTAGGTGTCTCCCAATACTGTGATTCCCAGCCCTTGGCCTCCTTCACTCAGTCCCTCAAGGTATGTGGATGTGTCTAGGAAGCTACTATGGCTTTGCGTTGGTCAAGTTGTGCTGCCTTTCCCTATACTGTGTGTTGTCTTCCCCTTCACCAAAGTTAATACTTGTCTACTATCTAGTTAGTGTTTTCTCCTCCCCTCCTTTTCTCTCCCTTGTAACCATCAAATATTGTTTTTTTCTGTGTTTAAACCTTTTCTTGGTTTTTTATGATAGTAGTCTCATGCAATATTTGTCTTTTTGTGAATTTTGTGATTAACTTATTTCACTCGGCATAATGCTCTCCAGATTCATGCATGTTGTGAGATGTTTTGTGGATTCATCATTGTTCTTTATCATTGTGTAGTATTCCAGTGTGTGTATGTACCATAATTTGTTTATCCATTCATCTATTGATGGATACTTAGGTTATTTCCATCTTTTTGCTATTGTGAATAATGCTGCAGTGAACATGGGTGTACATACGTCTGTTTGTTTGATGGCTCTTATTTCTCTGGAATATAGTCCATGAGTGGGATTGCTGGATCGAATGTTATTTCTATTTCTTGCTTTTTAAGGAAGCATCATATTGTTTTCCATAGTGATTGTACTGTTTTACATTCCCACCAGTAGTGCATAAGAGTTCCAGTCTCCCCACAACCTCTTCAGCACTTGTTATTTTCTGTTTTTCAGATTAGTGCCGGTTATGTCAAGGTGAGATGGTACTCAGTGTAGTTTTGATTTGTATTTCTCTAATGGTTAATGATCACAAATGTTTCTTCTTGTGTCAGCTGCCCTGATGTCTTCTTTGGTGAAGTGTCTGTTTATATCCTTTGGCCGTTTTTAATTCTATTATTTTTCATTTTGTTATTGAGGTGTTGAAATATTCTGTAGATTTTAGAGATTAGACCCTTGTCAGATATGTCATAGCCAAAAATTTTTTCCAGTTGGTAGGTTCTCTTTTTACTCTTCTGGTTAAGTTTTTTTTTGATGAGCATAAGTATTTAATTTTTAGGATCCCCAGTTATCTAGTTTCTCTTCTGGTGTTTGTGCATTGTTAGTTATGTTTTGTGTTGTACTTATGCCATAAATGAGGGCCCCTAATGTTGTCCCTATTTTTAATCCCATAATCTTTATTGTTTTAGGTTTTATAGTTAGGTCTTTGATTATTTTGAGTTAGTTTTTGTGTAAGGTGTGAGGTATGGGTCCTGCTCCATTTTTTTATAGATGGACATCCGGTCTTGCCAGCACCATTTGCTAAAAAGACTGTCTTTTCCCCATTTAATGAACTTAGGCCTTTGTCAAAGATCAGCTGACCATAGCTGGATGGATTTACATCTTGGTTCTTGATTTTGTTCCATTGCTCGATGTGTCTGTTGTTGTACCAGTACCAGGCTGTTTTGACTACTGTGGCTGTATAGTAGGTACTGATATAGTAGTGCGAGGCCTACTACTTTGTTCTTTTTCTTCATCAATGCTTTACTTATCTGGGGCCTCTTTTCTTTCCATATAAAGTTGGTGATTGGTTTTTCCATCTCGTTTAAGAATGCTGTTGGTATTTGGATTGGATTGCATTATATCTGTAGATTGCTTTGGGTAGGATGGACGTTTTCACAATGTTGAGGCTTCCTATCCATGAGCATGGTATGTTTTTCCATTTATGTAGGTCTCTCTTGGTTTCTTGCAATAGTGTTTTGTATTTTTCTTGTATAGGTCTTTTCCGTCCCTAGTAAAATTTATTCCTAAGTATTTTTATCTTTTTAGGGGCTTATAATGTTATTGTATTCCTTATTTCCTTTTTGAGGTTTGCTTTGTTGATGTTTAGAAATCAAACTAATGTTTGTATGTTGATCTTAAAAGTATCCTTCTACTCTGCTCTATTAGTTACAGTAGTTTTCTTGTGGAATCTTTGGGGTCCTCTATGTATAGGATCATATCTGTGAATAGGGCATAGTTTTACTTCTTCCTTTCCAATTTGGATGCACTTTACTTTTTTTTCTGGCCTTATTGCTCTAGCTAGGATTTCCAGCACAGTGTTAAATAGGAATGGTGATAAAGGGCATCCTTGTCTTGTTCCTATTCTCAGGGGGAATGCTTTCAGCCTCTCTCTGTTGAGAATGATGTTGGCTGTCTGTTTTGCATAGATGTCCTTTATTATGTTGAGGAATTTCCCTTCTAATCCTATTTTATTGAGAGATTTTATTAGTAATGGATGATGGACCTTATCAAATGACTTTTCTGGGTAGATTGAAATGATCACGTGCTTCTTTTCTTATATTCTATTTATGTGGTGCATTACACTGATTGATTTTCTAATGTTGAACCATCCTTGCATACCTGGTATGAATCCCACTTAGTTGTGGTGTATTATTATTTTTTTTGATATGATGTTGCTGAATTCTGTTGACTATAATTTTGTTGAGAATTTTTGCATTATATTAATGAGAGATATTTGTCCAAATTTTTTTTTTTTTTTTGTGGTACCTTTGCCTGGCTTTTGTATAAGGGTTATGCTGGCTTCATAGAATGAATTTGGGAGTAGTTTTTCCTTTCCTGTGCTCTGAAATAGTTTGAGTAGTACTGATGTGAACTCTTCTCTGTATGTTTGGTAGAATTCTCCAGTGAAACCACCCAGGCCAAGGCTTTTTTTTTGGTTGGGAGTTTTTCAGTCTCTTCTCTTGTTACAGGTCTGTTCAGATTTTCTGTCTCAGCTTGTGTTAGTTTATGTAGGTAGTGTGTCTCTAGGGATTTGTCTATTTCCTCTAAGTTCTCAAATTTTTTGCAGTATGGTAGAGCCCTGGTGTCATAGTGATTAAGAGCTTGGCTGCTAACCAAAAGGTTGTTAGTTCAAATCTAGCAGCCACTCCTTGGAAACACTATGGGGCAGTTGTACTCTGTCCTTTAGGGTGGCTATGAGTTGAAATCGACTTACGGCAATGAGTGTTCTGTTATGATAAGTAAAAATGGTGTAGAGGAGGTTTCTGACCTTTTCTCTCTTCACCAGGGGGAAGGAGAATCAAGATCAACAGCCCAAGGCTGATTCCTATGAGGCATAGGTCAGACTTGTCTCCTCTCTCCACCATCTTTACCAATTCTGACACCAACCGTCCTTCTCATGGCATTCTCTACTTCTCTGCTGGGTTCAATAATTCATTGCAGTAGCCACACAGAACTCACAGACTATACTCATGATTATGGGTTTATTAGGGAGGTAACAGGTTACAGTTAAGTTTCAGATACACTCAGGATACAGTTCTTCCATCAGGACAGTCTCCTCCCAGCCATGCTCACAGACAGGCCTCTACCTGGCACTGTGCCTCTGCCCTGCTCAGGCAAGTGTTACAAAGGTCTTTGAGCTCTGCTGATAAGTACCCGGAGGTACCCGGAGGCACCCCACTCCACCAATAAGCCTCAGCCCGAAGGTGCTCAGCTCTAGCTCCGTGGGTTGGCAAACCTAGATCCACCAAGTGCCCGGAGGCACCCTACTCTGCCAGGAAGCCTCCTGTCCACTGGCACTCAGTTTTCTCACTCCATGGGCTGGGAAGCCCACCACACTGTCTCCTGCCAATCTCTCTTGTTGACATTTGTTTACCACCACTTCTTGCTATCTTCAGTGTTACAGCTCTCTCTATCTCTCTCTGTCTGTCTCCTGGTTCCAGGAGGGTCTCAACGCAGGGATCCCAGGTCCAAAGGATGTGCTCCACACCTGGTTCTCCTTCCTTGGAAGTGATGGGATCCTTTCTCTTC